CGATTTGGAACATTGGCAGTCCATTCGTGAAACACTTTCCTTGGACAACGTTGTGGTGCAATCGTTCAAAAGGCTAGCTCTCTCACAAAATTACGGAAGAAACTGACCATGCATTCCAAAACTTCTGGTCCAGTCAGAGCAGACACCAACGGAGCTGTTAGAACGTTGGAGGACACATTGTACAAACCTTCTATCTGAACTTCGGTTAAAAGCTGTTGAATCATTGCGAAGACCAGACATACGCCTATCTGAAAAAGCAATCCTACCAGCGAGTACGCAGGAGCATCACGTTACCGCTCGGTCATGTGATACTGCAGAAAGTCCGAACGGGGAATGGGACGTACCTTGGCCGAATCAGTTGGTGAACTACGTCACAGCGTCATTCCAACAACAAAACTGCCGACCTCACATTAATCGGCATTCTACCACACTTAACTCCTTTGGCTTCCTGTGAGCCCCAAGAGACCGAGAAAATGTCCTGCCCCTATACCAATGCACAAGAAATTCTCAATCTGCTGGACGAACTGAAAGATTGCCAAATTTCGAAGCCATGCGATATCACTGGTGTCACAGAGACATGGCTGCAACATGGGATGACAAACGTTGAAGTCGCGCTGCCGGGCATGTCACTTATACGAAACAACAGACTTACGAAAGGAGGAGGGCTAATTCTTCATTACCGAAGGGAGCTACAGTGCGAGGCCGTTGACGATCCAGACTTACAGTTTACCGATTCTCTTTGGTGCTGCCCACAATTACATGGCCGATACCTCTGCCTTATGGCTTTGATGTATTGCCCCCTTACTCTACACTTGAAATGGACTTCCATCTGACGACAGCCTTAAGATGCAGCGTAAACCGAAAGCACGCCCACATCCTAATCGTGAGTGAAATCAACGTACATTAGTTAGAAACCCCTGCTACAATCGAAGACCAATACATAACCAAAGTGCAAGGGCTGGTAACCACTGTTCCAAATTACACTCACAACACTGCCCACTCGTTACAGAACACGCACTTGACCAGATTTGCCGGATCTTGTGTTCACAAACAATGAACATATGATTGATGTGCTAGTTGTAGACAGTCTTTTGGGTGGTAGTAATCATGCAGCCATTAGTTCCGAATTCATCTGCTATGCGGAATGTCACAACCAGAACACTGAGATGGTGCGTGCCATTACGCGTTACTACCGCTTAGCCCAGCTCGTCAGTGTCACAGCCTAGTCGCACCTCGCTGCAGGCCATCCGGAATTCGCTTGGTTCGAATTCGTCAGCAAATTCAATCAACTGGCTACGGATGCCTCAGTGATAAGGATTTTGCATGGGCCTAGAACCGTTTCTTCGTGAGTAGCAGAACTCAAAAATGGAGGGTTATACGCAACACAGCATGGCGAGAGTACAGACCATCACCAACACCAGATAATTAGGACAACTACGTTGCCCATGATAACCGTTGCACTCAACTGCTCAGCGATGACAAAGTGGCATATGAATAGAATATGATGAAGACTTTCAGCGTTAACCACAAACTGCTGTACAATTATGTCAATAGCCGTCGTAAGGTGAGACAGGGTATTCCTCCGCTCCGAACGAATGATGGTCCAACTAGAACAGCCATAGGATCAGCAAACGCGTTGCGGACGCAATATGCTCCCAAATTTCAGTGGGTTTTACCATCAGGTTCTCCTCCAAGTTTTGTTTTTCAGCATCCAGGACTCACCCACATCAGTTTTACTACCGAAGCTATTTTGCGGAAACTGACGTCTCTGCGTAACCACAGCCCCCCGGGAGTAGGCACCATTCGCCCAGATGCATTGGGAGCAGCAGCAAGACAACTGGCAAAACCTTTGACACAATTGTTCCAGCGTTGCTTAGACCAGAACCAGATCATTTCATATTGGAAACTTGGAACAATAACTCCGGTCCACAAAGGCGGAAGCAAGACAGAGCCCTCAAACTACCGCCCGGGGTTCCTTCTCACTGTATGATCCAAGGTCATGAAATCCATAGTTGTCGATGCGTTATTATGTTATATAAAAAATCGTAACGTTATTGCTCCCGAGCAACACGGCTTTCGCCGATAGTGATCGTGCACAACGAATCTATTAATCGCAAGGGGTAGTTGGACCGAGTCAACTGACGTGGAGTGGCCGTTGATGTGATCTACTTGGATTTGGCGAAGGCGTTCGAACGTTTAGATCATCGGATTTTCCTTTCCAAGCACCAGTATCACGCAATCAGTGACCATCTCTTGAGCTGGATCGCCAACTTTCTACTTCAACAGCAATTAGTAGTGAGAGTCCGGAGTTCCTCATGTGAACCCATACCAGTCGAGTCTGGTGTGCCCCAGGGCTCAGTTCTAGATCCACGGTTGTTTTTGGTATTCATCAATGACCATGCACGGAAAATCGCTTCAAATTTCCTGCGGTTTGCAGACAATATCCATAAACGGCGCCGGATTCAGTCGGATGCGATCAGAATTTAGTTCAGCGTGATTTCGCTATGTTACAGGAGCGGTCGACCCGAAATCTGCTACAGTTCAACATGGATAAATGCAAGGTGCCCTTCATACGACACCAGAGTACCTATTCCTACAAGTTAGGAACGCAAGTACTGCAGCGGTCATCCGTGCTTCTTAAGTAAAACTCGGGTTGTCCCAAACAATCCGCAAAGGCCTCGAAAACTGGTAACCAGCACGTTAATTTGCAACGACGGACTTTTGAACTATTAGACACCAGTATTATCAGACAGATGCTGAATGTGTATGTTCGTCCCCATGTCGAATAAGCAATCCAAGCCTGGCAGCCATGGCTAAAGCACGACCTTACTGCAGTTGATGAACCTCAACGTCGGACTTCTAGATACGTCATTGGAATGCGCCACCTTCCGTACGAGAAGAGGCTGAAACATTTTTGAGTATTCAGTGGGAGGTATCGCCGACTAAATGGCGACTTGATTTTGGCGTATTTGATTTTACACAAACCAGGTCATGTTTGCCACTCTTTACTGCAACTCAGTAGTAACACCAAACTTAGAGGCCACTCCTTTACATCGGCCGCCTGGCATGCCGTAGAAACTTTTTTCCATTCGTGTGTCAACCGTGGAGCACTCGCCCCGAAGCTGTTTCTTCTATACCCATGCCAACTTTATTTAAAAATCGGTTGGATGACGCACGCCGCCAATTACATTTTGTTTCTTGACGCTACTCTCCATCCTACTCCTGGGAAATACCACTGGATTTACTTCTTTTCGCCTGTTAAAGTTATGGAAACACTCGGAGTGCACGGCTACTGCATCAAGAACGCTAAGTTCATGATTTTGATAGTAAAACTACTAACTGCTTTTTCATTAACTTTTTTTTGCTAACGTGGTTTGTAATGCAATGCTTCTTAACCCGTGTAAAATCATTGTTCGTGATTCAGCGGCGGCTTTCAGCTCCAGTTCGGGGATAAATTTTTGATGCTGTTGATGGGAGCTGCGTTATTCTATGAGAGTCATTGTTGGTGCTCACTTATTCCTATTCTTCATTAACGACCTCACGCATGTCATCGAGTCGAATTTCCTTCTTTTTGCCGACTACAGCAAGATATGGCGGACAATCGGTTGTTGGAAAGATCACGATCTGCTACAACCGGATTTGCACTGTGCTTTTGATTGGTCAAATGCAAAGCTACTTCCGTGTAACGCGAACAAGTACAAAACCGTACCTGTACGCCACAAGCCCACGAACACATATAAACGTGGAGACCACATGTTGAAAACTGCCTCACAGGAACGCGACCTTGGGTGGTGATACAAGACGATCTAAGCTGTTCGGCGCAGATGTTGAAGGCACGCAAAAGCACGAACCAGCATGTTGGCCTTTTAAGGAGAGAGTTCGGACGATTCGATCCCCCCAAAATGCTCAAAGCCTATGTGAAGCCTCATGTAGAGTACGCGAAATAACCTTGGCCAAAATACGCGATCTGGTTAGACTTGAGATCCCACAGCGAAGGGCAGCTAAGATGTGAAGGGATTGTTCCACCCTCTATACCAACTGCGACTGAAAGCCATGGGCATTTATAGCGGAAGTTATCGCCAACTACGAAGCGGTCTCATACTTGTGTACCAGATTTTGAAGAACCCTGGTCACGCTTGTCGACACCTCAAGAAACAGCCGTATCCCAAAACTGAGTCGTCACTATAGCATTTCCTGCAAACTTGCATAAAAAGTCCAAAATTTTGCAACGAAAGCGCGAAGTTTTGCAAAGGTGCAAAGTTTTGCGAAGAAAGTGAAACATTTTTGCAAAACTGTGCGATCCGCCAGCCGCTCTGAGCCGATTTTCTGACCTCAAATGTGTTCTCATTGGATGCGTCAAGAATGCAGGGTGGACGGATAAGGCGAAACAGATGTAATTCTACACCGAACGCCGCAAACATAAGGAATTCTTCGACTCCTTGAAGGTGGTTTATAGACCCACGTTGGAGCCGCTGATGACGCTGGTGGATGCTACTTCATACGTTGCCTGAGCGCAGAACACCCCTATCTACACGCTGTCCTTCATACCTATATTCATACAATAGAAACTCAATGTTACGGTAAAATTGCAACTTTTCTGCACATTTATTAATCATACGTGTAGTTTTATCATGATCATGCCTATGAGGGTGTGCCTCACGTCGTGGATATACTATTTTTATTTATAATGCTGTAATTACTATCCAGCTATCGGCCAGTCCTTTCTGTATCTCGAGTGCAGTCGCGTTCCGTCTGTTTCGACTTGAAGGGTCGTAAGAACTAGGACGTTATAATAATTTTATTAACTCTACGTAATCCTCTGCCAGGTTTCCCAGTACATCTTTCTGGTAAAAGTTTAAGATGTGTAGTTTCGAAGCCTCCAGGTACCTAATTTCTCAGTCTTATGCGTCTGCACTTGCAGGTGGAGAGCGTCCGCAAACAATGAACCACTTTCCACCTGAAATGCTAAAAACATAAACATTGGTTGTTTCACATAACAGGCCAAACGAAACGAAATGGATGCTCATGATCGCTTCGTGTCATCGAAGAAGCGGGAACTACCACCAAGCCCTAGAAACTTATAAAACAATGCACCGACGTTTTCCGGAGAACACGGAATGTGAGTCTTGCATTGCGTCTTTACTCACGGGTAAAATCTTCAAGTGTGGATTGGCCATCACTGGTTTTGCTCAGATCCCATTTTGCACTGTTTGATCGGAACACTTCTTGTGTTTGGTCATTCTTTCAGGTCTACGATTCTTGGTCCGATTGAGTACTGATATGGGACTTCCCGAAGCACAAGACTATGCTAATAGTCTTAAAAAGGCAGAGAAGTTAAAAGAGGCGCGGGAACAAAGACAGTTATCTGCGAGCAACCGACGGGGACTCGCCGCACGTACCAAAACAAGCAGAGAAAACTCTGCTAGTGCAAGCAGTGGAGGTTGGTTTGCAAGTTGATAGCGTTTATTATAAGCGTTAAATAGCCGTTTTTCATATACTGTGTAGCATAGTTATGAAGGTGGGTAACTAATGATGAGAACGCACATGCATTACTTCGTATGTACGACTTTCCACAATTTGATGAAGAGCTTTGGGTTTTGCTCGTTTCTCTGGCAGGTGACAGTCGCGAAGGCAGCGCTAAACGCAACCTCGCAAAGGGTTCAATAGGTCGAACTGGTATCAGAGGTCTCCCTCGACAAGTGGAAGCAGCCAATGAAACATTACTAAACGGTGATGGAGAACACGAAGAATCTGTGGTTTACAAGGACCCGTTAGGTCCAGCTGCAGAACGACCGAAAACTGCGTCTCGGTCTCGTCCTTTGCAGGATGACTTCGCAGACGAAGAAGTCGATGACACAATGCTGCCAGACTGAATTGGTTGGCAGATCTTCATACTTTATCAGCTGGTTCACTTATCAAAGTATCCCATCTGTACATCTATTATGCTAATTTGTCTCACTCGGGACATGGTTTTGCTAGACATCTTTGGATAAAGGGTAGCACTGGATTAAGAACCATCGCTTTAGGTTTGATATAGTACCGAGCACAGTTACATGGTCTAGCGAGTCAGTTTCGAGTTCCCTTAAATGGTCAATTTTTTCTTCTACTGATTCCATTCAAGCTTAATGCCTTCGGTTCCGTACGAACAAGGTTCAGTTTGGCGACGAGTGCCATTAAACCAATGCCCGGTGACTCCACATCGCAATGGCAATAACAACGATAGTTGTGGTGGGAGGGAAAACTATGAGGTAAAACACAGCGAAAGCTGATATAGAAAATATTAGATACGAACAATCGAATGGAGGTATCAGTTGGATTGTCAAATAAATTCCTCCTGGTGCTAGCTGGTACTTCGGGATTATCCTGTTCCAGCTAATGGTTCGACGGCAGTGTTCCAAGACATGATGGGTTTTCGTCAGGTAAATGATCTCCCTATAAAAAGCCACAATTGTCCGTTTAACAACATTGTGAGGCGACGGATATGACACTACTTCATAAAGACACTGCCTCTTGTCACTCTCCAAACGGCATTGTAATTCAAGAGAGTGCCTGGTCGTTTGCATGACCCAAAGGCGTGTGAACCAATTGTTTGGTCGTCGGCCCTTTTATAGACCTGCTGCCTTGTAGGTTAGATTACAGATCAAAGGCTCGGGATGTAGCTCTAAGACGAATCACTACTTCGACTTGATAACCGGTTAGTATCATGCACACTGACGAAGCATGGATGGTTTATAAATAAATAAATGATATACGGCCGGTTACACTCTGAAATTAGGCAAACAACCAAATTCCACCTGCTACGGCGACCCCAATCACGGCCCAGGTCATATTGCATGAGAGCAACTCTGTGGCGCAAGCTATACTGGCACACAGGAACACAAGCACTACATACGCATCTATTGCCGCTACCCAAGAACCAGCAGCAAATTCAATGACTACGCTAGAGACAATCAAACATTGCGACAGAAGTGCCACATCACTCCAAGAAGAATTCAGATCCATTCCATCACAAAGCTGTTACACCTACACGAGCCCATGAGTCGCTGACGATCGCATGTTCCGGTGTTTCTGAATCTAGCAAGACCTCAATAAGAGATAAGCTGCTGGACGACACAAAACAGTGGGATCACATTTGTTTGCTAACAGGAGTCCAAACAAACCCGACTAGCATGGTGCGCAGCATACGGCACCCAAACCCGATCCACTGCGGGATCCAAGGCTGCGACGGGTAACGCTACAATCAGCGAACGATGCTGTGGCGGTTCATTTGTTAGTCACTCATTATTGGACTGACCCAGGTGACATTCGGATTTTCCCCGACATCCCTTGGAGTGAGCGTCAACAAAGAAAACAGAACTCTGATGACTATCACCATCTGAACAACGGAAAGTCGCTCTTTGTTCATTGTGTACCGGAGCTTCAAGCATCTGATGATCGCGGAGCGCAACCCCATGATTGAAAGGAATAGCGCTACCTTCGTCAGGCACTCGCACTCGACAACGTGACCGTCAAACCGATCATAAGACTGCCCCCATCATCAGAGTACAAAAAGTGTGGCCCAAAGGTGATGGATGTTTTTTTTCAATCCAAATAATGGCAGAAAATGCTCTTGAAACGTGACGTAAGGAGCGCAACAATTCCCCCCCAAGAGTAACGAATAAAAGCGTACAACATCAAATTCAAACGGACCGAGAGAGAGAGAGAGCAAAGTCACCCGGGTCTGGAAGTGACTCCACTAAGTCTGATTTCCGAAACGAACCACTGAGAAGCACAACCGTTTGTTGAAGGGGCAGTGAGTTCCCAATACTCACTGGAACCGAAACTTCACCCTTTCATCATTCTACCGCGCAATATGGACCGGCTCGAAGTTCAGCGTCAGGGGTTCATTAAAAAACGATCAGTTGCGATTAGGTGCGATAAAAGCTTACACCTGTCACTCGCATTGTCAGACATACTTGACAAAGAATATGCCAAAACTGAGAAGTAGAACAAGAGTATAATCCAGACAAGTTAGATGCAAGAGGTGGGATGCACTGAGTAGAGTTCGTCGAACTGGTTCGAGCGAGCGCACGTACAATATTGTGTAGGGAGGATTACTGTGGCCACAGGGGGCGTAGCGAAAGCCGAATTAAAGTGCGGCCGTACAGCGTATATAATCAGTTGCCAGCCGTACGCCGTAACGGCGCTTCGCTTCCGCGCGATCACCACTGGTGGCGCGCGGACTGAGTATACCGCGGAGACGCCTACCCCTACGCGGATTCGAACCAGTGACCCTACGGTTACAAACCATGCGTACAGACTACTCGGCCACCGGCCGACCGTTTAGGTACATCTTCAACCCATTGAGTTATACTGGGTTGTGCCTCCGGATACCTTGAGAGCTACTCCTACCAGGTTGGTCAATGGTTAGGGGTCAGACAAACTCAGCCTCCTGGTCCTCCAGGTTGGAGGTTTAAAGTGAGATGGCATCCATTTCTGTAAAACAAAATCATTGCCAACTCCCCGCTACCCTGTGGACAGGCTTTTCAGTCAGTCTTTGGTTTAGCAGTCTAATCATCCTCCTGTCTAGGTTTTGGCGTCCTGGAAGTATCTCATCCCACATAAAACCATGACAATTCTGTTTTCTTTTTTGTTTATATATGTATATATATCAGTAAAAATACGCAGGAACTCAACTGCAAAGGTGGCCTTGGGTTTACGATATTTCCAGGTCAGATGAATGTCCTAACAATCGAACTGGATATATATGATATTCTCGCTCCAACAAACTTTTACGTGCCAGCTCGGTAAAAAATACTTGTGGTTTTCCTCTCAACTTTTGCGTGTCATCGGCAGCTCACACTGCAACATCGCTTAGATGAGTACAACAACAGCAAACCGAACTCAGCCATCCTAAGCTACAAAAGATGAGCTAGTGATGCGCCAGATGATTCGTTACCGGAAATCAAAGGTGTGAACCGAACATTATTTACTCCGTAATTCCTCCGGTTGTGAGCGTCAGTCCGTAGATACTGGTGACCGAGGACGGCTAGTTTTGCAGTGTTTTCAACGCATAGTATTAGTTCCTGTGCTCCATATATTACCACAAGTTGCAATGCAGTGTTGTACACTATAGTATTGACCGATTAACTACCCCGCCATCCCCACAACTGCTCTGGGCTATGATAAGCAGCGTGGACCTCATGATTTCCACAGTACCCTCATTATTCTGACTGTCAGAAGTGATTCAGCCACTCACACAACTCGTTTCCGGTGACTGCTTAAGAATGGTAAATGCCGATGGTCTCTGCTCACTCCTGCAGAGCTAACTCACATATCGTGTGAGGCACATGTTAAGGCATGCAGGTTTCTGTGTTAGCCTATTCAGCGGAACCCATAGTGGGGCTGAGTCCGACCTCAAGACAACTGCATCGTTCACCCCCAGGAAGGCTGCCATTCGATGACCTGGCATCACTTCTGCTGCATAAGTACCGCAGTGAACAGAGTCAAGTGTAACCATTTCGCTCACATAAATGAAGAGAAAAGGGTAGCTGGGGTGGCAATGATAGTGACATATCCAAAGGAAATGCCCAGCAGACTGGCATGACGCACGGACTCATGTCATGGATAGTTGGTTCGCTAGCACACACTTCAAGGGGGAGCAATGCAATAAGCGAGTGCGACCAAGTAAACCCAGCGGTTTTCCAAGTAAGCAAGCAACACAACGTGCTGACCGCATGTTGCTGTTTCAGTGCCTGAACATACCCATAGCGGAGGGAGGCCTGAAGTTCATGGATTTGGCTTTCTTCGGAACTAGTGAGCCACTGCAGTGTGTTAACTGCGAGCATTCTGAAAGTGCGGCGATACGACAAATGTTGCACTGATCCCAGTATGATGTTCTGTGAGCCAATTCAAGTGTATGGAAGATACAGGATGATTGCAACGTACCTATTTGATCGCTGGATGAGGGAGTAAAGCTGTGGGATATTAGTGAACATGCCTCTGCTATCATTTTTGACGGGGGTGTCTGCTCAGCAATACGCTTACTAAAGCCGAAATAACTGCGCTGACATTGATTATGAGCCAAAACCAGAAAACTGCAGCTTCACCATTGAGTGAGTTTTCATCGAGAACTGCACTAAGTGGAGATAAGCGCTCGACTGAACATATCCAAAGTCACACTACGAAAGTACGAACTAATCTTTTTATACGGAAGATTTGTTGTATGGGCACTCAATGACTACTTTCAAGCCGCGGTTGTACTTTTGACATGAGCTTGTATCTGACCCGTACACACTTCATCCAAGTGCGTAAATCATGAGCTAGACATAAACACTCCAGGTGGGCAGTTCGCCAGTAACATGTCCACGGAATGGTGGTGGTCACAAAGTATTCAGCCAAATTGACTCAATGGACGAAACACATACCGCGAAAGTTCGTGGTGCATTCGTGCGCACCTTGAAGCAGGTCGAGTGTGATCTTAGTCACACCCTTGGCTAAATCAAATGTGATACGTTTGTAGACTTGTGTGCCTTGTCGCAACGCTTCCCCCCCCTGAGTCGATCAAAGTAGGTATCGGATGAAGGTACCAGCAGTGTTCCCGTCATCGTAGCTAGACCAGTCAAAGTGTTGCTTACGCAACTGGTTTATGGCTGTGCAGGATTAAGTACAGTGAAATGTCGTCATAACGAAGGCTAGTAAAACGAAATGCTCACAAAAGCGAAATTGTTAAAGGTCCTTCTACAATCCAAAATATTGAACATTCTCAACGATTCATCAAGAACACCAGTCTGAGGTAAGCAATTGTTTCCAATGATTCATCTACAGGTAGGTAGAAGTCCTATACGAAGGGATGAATAGTGATTGGTTCAGAGGCTTGTTTCGAACTAAGTAGGTCAATGAGTAGACAGCATATAGCTCGCCAATTTCGCAATGACACAGATCGATTGAGTGTTACGCAATCATAATGCCTGAACCTATGTCAGTGTGACGGCTGGGTTGCTGGGTTTCGGCTAGGGCAGACAGAGAGATTGAACAAACTTTGTTGCGAGCACTGTGGGGATTGGGATCGTAATGACCTCTACA